CTTTCTGCAACACTTTTACGAGTGTCACATTAAGTTGGCATAATGGCGAGGGCTGAAACAGACGCAAGTCTGAGAAGGAAATGAGTCGGAACCATTCAAATCAGTACAGTGATTAGCTAAGCTTCCAAGAGCGAGATTCCATTTCTATACGCAACTGAGATTTCTTTTCGGCACCGCTGTACACAGACCGACTCTAGAGTTCACCCATCTCCTCTCGAAGTGGCACCGAGAGCTCTTTCCCCAGGATAAAGCGGCCGGAGAGAGAAACTGGCCATTCACTTCCATTTAATGCAGATGTTTCGAATGTGAGGAGCTATTCCCCATCCCTCCCTACGTCTTTATCGCACGGTGCGTAATTAAGAAGAGGAATAAGTTTACCTCTGTCTGTGAAAGAAATTACTTCTTCATTATTTTCAGCGTTGTTTGGAGAGAGGCGGTACCCGAAACAAATTTCTGTACGACAGGCCTAAGTTAGAACTACTAATTGGGGATCGTGTCTAATCACGGACCTTGCTATTTACGCAGGTGAAGGTTCTGATTATACTTTCAGACGATACGGTGTTCCTTATTTTCTTTAATGGCGACTACTTACCTTCAGGGATTATACTGCAACGGAGAGGACCAGAATGTTCTTGGAATGGCTGGGAAAAACTCCCTGATCAGAGGGTCGAGGGCGGTGCGTTCGGAACAGTTGCCAAGCTATTTATAAATATCTTTTGGGGGTACCAAGCGTGTAAGAAGAAAAAAAAAGCTATCGCTGTAACAAGCCGTGAAGGCCCATAGGTTTGTGAGACGCTGAGGTTCCCACATTTTCTACAGCAAATCAGCTCACAGATGGCGGTAAGGTTGCCAGCCTTACACGCCGGCCGCCTTTTGCCTTCAGGAAGATTTCCGGTACTCATTTCAGTTAGAGGCTGAGTCGACCCCAGGGCCGATGCGCGGCTGGAAGGATTAGGAAAACTGAAGAAATCCACCTCATCGAGACCCGAACCCGCGATCTTCCGGCTTGAAGCATAGTGTTTCAACCAACTACGCTAACGCGTACCCCGCGTAAGAAGAAGCACGTCCAATATGTGCTTTCCTGTTAGCCAATATTTCAAAAACTTCTTTAACTGAATGGTAATACGGTAACATAACCACAGCATGCTTCTACAGTACTGTCAAATATTCCTTCCTTTCTGCCTTGCGTAATATTTGCCGCAGCAAAATAAGAGCAAGCCAAATAAAATTAGCGACGAGGGCGGCAGCCTAATTCCTGTACGAGATCCCTTCCTACACCTGGTGCACAGCTTTTGTCTTCACAGCACGTTTATCGGCAAAAACAATTCCGAAAGACTGACGAAGAATAGGCAACGGGGGAAGAGGCTGTGTTTAATCGTATCAGGACACAGTGCTGAAATTAAGATATCTTTGCGCATATTAACGGCTAGTGCATGCGGACTTCACATTACGCAGTATGTTATCTCGAAAACATGTTAATAATAATAACAAGAACATAAGAATCCATCTGAACAATTCTTACTTACTCATGGGGCTGAGCCCTTCTTGAGGAGTCGCCAATTCTGCAGCTACTCAAGAATTTCCCAGCATTTTAAGGAACCCGAAGGTTAATTACCGTATTCACTAGAGCCCTCCACCGGTCCCTATTCTGAGCCAGATCAATCCAATCCATATCATCCCACCCTGTCTCTCTAAGATCCATTTTAACATTGTCCACCCACCTACGCCTTGGTCTTCCCACTGCTCTTTTTCCTTCTGGCTTTGCACCAATATCCTATATCCATTCGTCTCCCCCATTCGTGCTACATGACCTGCCCACCTCATCCTCCTTGACTTGATCATTCTAATTATATTTGGAGAAGAGTACAAGTTATGAAGCTCCTCATTATGCAGTTTTCTCCAACCTCCTGTCACTTCATCTCTCTTGGGTCCAGATATTCTCCTCAACACCCTGTTCTCAAACACCCTCAGTCTATGTTCCTCCCTTAATGCAAGACACCAAGTTTCACACCCATGTGGATATAATGTATAGCTTTCTTAATACTAAAGGCGGTGGTACGTATAGTAACCACTATCCTTTGAAGTACGTAGTAACTAGCATACTGGCAGACTGTATGTGGATCTGTGGAAAGTACACGGGTCGATTAGACAAGGATCAGGAATTTCAGTCACTAAAGTTTAGTGTGTGAACGGAGAAGTTCATGGAGGTAGACCTAGGCGCACTGGGGCTGTAGTGCCTAGGGGGGAAAAAAAAAGTTTAGTGGTTCGCCGGTAGCACACCGTCGCTTTCTTTGTCCGCGTTTTACTCTGCGGTTGTAGTGGTTTTACTGGTTCCGTCTTCAGGGTTTTTTTTATTGGTTTAGTTTATCGTTATTAAGTTGTGTGTACAAAATAGTGCAAAATAATCCTCCCGAGTAATACTTGGTTCCGTTTCAGGGGACTGGCACCTTTTCTTCATCAGTTCTTCGCTACATTAATAGTTTTTTTTTCAGTGCATCCACGTCACACTTCTTTCAGACAGATCACTTTCTATTTTGTCTTCTTAACCCTCTCATTTTCCTCTTCTCTACTACAAAACAGTTAGAACTAATAATTTCCTGCTGATAGTCTGATGTGTATGGGCTTACGTTTCCGGCTATGTTTGAATTTCTCTGCAGTTCCACACATTTGATTTTTTTATGTATTCAGACTGAAAATTGTCGCCTGAACATTAGGCCGCCAATATCACCACTACTGTTGCTGTTGCTGCTGCTACTACTACTACTAGTAGTAGTAGTAGTAGTAGTAGTTGTGGTGGTAGCAGCAGCAACAGTAGTAATAATACTAGTAGTGCTACTACTACTACTACTACTACTACTACTACTACTACTACTACTACTACTACTAGTTGTGGTAGCAGCAGCAACAGTAGTAGCAACAGCAGTAGTAGTAGTAGTAGTAGTAGTAGTAGTACGATCACTACTAGTATTATTCAACGTAACGACATCCAGCAAATTTCTAAGATGGTCCCAAATTGCTTATATCAAATTTTGAAGCTGGCTGTTCGAATTCCTCAAGTTTCGTTCTCCTTCTTTCCGTTAACTTCAAGAGAAAATGTTCAGGAGTCTCCAACATTTCCACCAACATCACAACCCATAACCAAGGCGTTTTATTCAAGAATGGTGGTCACTGGAAGACGTACCGTAACCGACTCCTGGTTTATTTAACGTCACATCTGCAGCTGCCGAGGTTATCTAGCGTTGAATGAATTCCCTATGGAAACCAACTGCAAATTTAGGGTACTACGGTGGAATTTTTAAGGAGGTACTGAGACAAACCATGAAAAGTTAGAATACCCGGTCTCCGAGGCAATATTTGAAGCTAAGACATCCCGAACACCAAGTAGAACAGTCGGACTAGTGATGGACTATGTAAGTGTTTTACCGAACTTTCGGGTTATGCAAAAGATGGACAATTTATTCAGTATTATGGGCACATTGGCTCCTCAAGAAGTACTGTTCTATGGAGTTACTTCTCATAAGCTATTGCAGGGTTGTTTCTCACTGTGGAGGTTGCAGCCAGCTAGCAGCTCAGAGCAGTCATCTGCAGCAAAGCTGCCGTCACTAAAGTAATTAGGCCCGTGTGTACAGAAGGTACAAACGGGGCTCTTATGACATATCTATCTATGGCTCCAGAGCCCTCTGTTGGGCCTTGGCCGTGTTTAGTTTCTTAATTCTATACACAATCGGTGGGACTCCTTGGACGGGGGATAAGCCCGTCGCAAGGCCTCTACCTATACACAGAACAACCCAAATACAGAATAAACGAACACAGACATCAATGCGTCGAGTGGAATTCGAACCCACGATCCCACTGTTCGAGAGGGCGAAGATACGGTAGTTCATTCCTTATGCCGCGCGGCCAGTGTAATGGGCAGTGTTGTTATGACCATTACTGGGTATTAAGAAACTATATCATCAATGAAATACAGACACAGGAAGAAAAGACGTTCCAATATGACCAGCGTTAACTGGAGACTACCAAAGCAAGCAGTACTCTCCAAACCAATGTCGATTAGAGTTCCGGATGCCCGAAGAAAAGATGAACCAACTACATCTAGAGGATCTGGGGACTGGAACTGGGCCTAATCCTGCAAAGTTCACTGTAGTTATGATAAAATCCACTGGCCTCTCACTTATAAAGTTAAAGAATGGGCCGCACCACAGCTCAAGCGGTTAGTCGCTGGCTTCCCACCGCGGCGGCCCGGGTTCGATCCCGGGTCTGCTCAAGTGGGATTTGTGGTGGACAAAGAGGCCCTCCAAAATCACCCTCACCTGTCATCTGGGGCTGGTACAATAGGCCAGAAGTGGCCGCAATACAAGGGAGTTAGTCCCACCCACTAGCAATAAAAAAAGTTCAAGGATAGTGTCTCAACATAATGAACACTAAAAGCGATGCAAGTGAATTCATACTGACTTGTTCACCTACTGACGTGTATGGTAGGCCAATCTGAAAGTTAGCCTAGACCTGTGCATATATATGTAAGATTGTGATACATAGCTGTGGTCTTTACATACAAGTTCTGGTAATATGTATATTCTTGGATTACACACGCGTCTGACATACTGTGCTTATGTGAACCAATATCACAAGAATTTTCATATCAGATGACGGAGACTAGGCTTTCCTTCCAAAGCTCGGTCCTAGTTGGATTCTTTCCAGCAAATTTATATCTGTTTCAACGCAATAATCTTGCGAGCACAACGTTCAGACAGGAACTACAGACCTATTTGTGCTTCTTATCGTAACTTCGATAAGGCATTTTCATGATACCATATCCCTAATGACTGTTCCATAACCATTCTCAAAGTAGGACACTATCTGGCACATAGCCAATGTGAAGCAGTAAAATGCAAGGAGCGAACAGAGATAAGAAGAGACAACTGCTGCTAAGACCTTCATCAAAAGTAATTATTAAAGAATATATGCCGAAGATACGGGCGGGTCACGCCTCTCCTTACCTCGTCTTTACCCTTCATGATACACATCTCGACAACGTCCTTGGGCGAGAACCATGACAGCCTCTGTGGATAAATCAGAACACACACGATTAGCAGCAAATATAGGGAAAACTAAGGCGTAAGATGATACACGTCACACATTCACAGGTTTCAGGAGTTTTGGCAGATTGAAAAAGTATGACACCAATGTTGGGAAAAAAAAAATTAAGATATGCCTCAATAACACACTCCTTTTCTGGATCCTCGTCACTGAAAGATGATTTTTTAATATTTCTGGACAGCCATTAACACTTTTGAAATAACTCTTAACAGGTAACCAGTTTTGTATTAATCTGTTCATAGCTGATGCTGGGGCATGTAGCACGAATGGGGGAGAAGAGGAATATATATAGGATATTGGTGGGAAAGCCAGAAGGAAGAAGACCACTGGGAACATCAAGAGGTAGTGGGTGGACAATATTAAAATGGATTTTAGAGAGATAGGATGGGATGGCATGGATTTGATTGACCTGGCTCTGGGTAGAGACCACTGGAGGGCTCTTGTGAACACGGTAATGAACCTTCGGGTTCCATATAATGCTGGGAAGTTCTTGAGTAGCTGCAGAATTAGCGGCTTTTCAGGAAGGACTCAGCTTTATGAGTGAATGAGTGAGTTACTGTTCTTTACATGAGAAAACAAGTAAACACACAAGCATTTAGTTTCCTTTTTAGGTGGAGTTTCTGCACTGTTGCTTTCACTTGCACGTTCACTACTCATTATGAAAATGGATCAAAGTTGGTAAAAAATTAAGAGCGTGGGGATGAACACGGTAAGAATAAAGGACAGAAAATATTACAATCCGGAAACGGCTATTCCTCTATCGATTAATACACGCTAAACTTTCTATCGATTATTATAGGCAATTTTTTTATATTTATCGATGAGTACCTCGAAGTCTAAACTACGTTGTGCGTTCCGTATATAATGCCTCCTATTTTTCTGTGTTAATATGTAACGTGTGAGCTGGATGTTGGTGGTGTTGTAGTAAAGGTTGAACCTTCGCGCCAATGTATTGTTAGTTTGGTTGTCGTGCGACAGATAGCGATCTACCAAAATGGCGTCTGACATAGAAGTGCGTATGAAACAGAAATGTGTTACTGAATTCCTCACTGCCGAACGAATTGTACCCATTGACATCCATCGAAACTTGCTAAAGGTGTACGGAGACAATACAGTGGATGTCAGCACAGCGAGGGGGTGGGTAGTGCGTTTCAACAGTGGCGAAAGTGAAGTGCACGACAAGCCACGCCGTGGGCGTACCTGATCAGCTGCCACTCATCACAATGAACAGCGCCTCGATCAGCTCATCCGTACAGATCGGCGGATAATGACCTGGGAACTGTGTGCACTGCTTAATATCGGTTGTAATGCATTCGAAACGATGTTGGGGAAGCTGGATTATCGCAAAGTTTGTTCCAGGTGGGTCCTGCGGATGCTTACACAGGACCACAAAACTCATCGAATGGAAGTTTGTCAGGACCTGTTGCACCAGTTTGAGGCTGAAGGTGACAAGTTTCTGGACAGCATCGTCACCGGAGATGAGACATGGTGTCACCACTACGAGCTGGAATCCAAAAGACAGTCCATGGAGTGGCGACATCCGGATTCTCCAAGAAAAAAAGAAGTTCAAGACACAGCCATGGGTAGGGAAAGTGATGTGCACGGTCTTTTGGGATAGGCGGGGTGTGATTTTTTTGGATTTCCTGGAGCCTGGCGAGTCTGTCAATTCTGAACGCTACAAGACGACGCTAAGCTGAAAGCCCGCATTTCCCGAGTCAGGCCAGAGAAGCAGACAACCTTTCGCTTGCAACACGATAACGCTAGACCCCATACCAGTTTGGCTGGACTGTCCTACCACATCCACCTTATAGCCCCGGCTTAGCACCTTCAGACTTCCATCTCTTTGGGCCTAAGAAAGACGGACTACGTGGGCAACATTTTCCAGACAACGCTGCTGTCATTGCAGCTGTAAGAAAGTGGCTAGCCTCTGCCGGCGCAGACTTTTACGGGCGCGGCATACAGGCTCTTGTTCATCGATGGCAAAAGTGCATAACGAATGGTGGTGATTATGTGGAAAAATAGCTGTAAGTAGCTGAAACCTTGCTCTATTTAACTGTGTTATTACGCTTTCTGTATCTGTTGTAGTTTTCTTTAAAAAAAATGAGGCATTATATACGGAACGCCCTTAGTATCTATAACAATGGCAGTTTATATCGGGAATAATATATAATTTAAATTTTGTGATATTGATTGTTAATGAAATATACGGGAGACATACAAGGTCAGTACGGGGGCCAGGAGGATCTCCCCCCCCCCAAAAAAAATAGCGCTAATACGGGAGTTCCCGGGAAATACGTGAGAGTTGGTCACCCTAGTCCTGAGTGCTTTTTTTTTTCTGCCATCCAATTCTATATCCCGAAGCGGAGACACAATAAAATTACAATACCGAAGTATGCAACGCTATCACTGCTTGTGAGAAAGCTGCAATATTATTACAGTAACAAGCTAATTAGGCATAACCCAAGCATTAACTTGACTCACCACTCAATCCTATAGGTATACAGTAGGACTACGTTTATTCGGGAAAGTACAGCACAAACATTGCGTAAAAATATTGATTCTCCAAGCAGGATTAGAACCCGCGATCCATATATTCGCGCTGTCAAAGACCTTACGATCCTTAGACCCTACAGCTACTAGTATGATCAAGTGGCATATTTACATATGTTCGAGAAGATTCAAAATACCACGTGCAGATATATCATCATATCACCGCAACACAACAAAATGTTCAGGACGGGATGGAAGAACAAATACAGTCTCCAAATTTACGTGCTCAACATTTGCGTTACTTGAAAGTGGCATCGTCAGCTAACAGTACAATGCATCTCGTTCAGTGTCGTCTTGGGGAATAAGCGCAGACGAGGAAATTCAGGAAATTCTTATTTGCGTTCAGGCATATATTGTCATTTCCAGCAATTCACACCCTTCCACATAAATATGAGATATATAAATATATGGGCAGAACGCTCGAGGTATTCCACGTGTTCAATATGGGGGTTATCATCATGATACTTCGAAATTAAACACCAAAATGCATTTCGGGTTGAAGGTCTGTAAGGACAATGTTTATGGCATGGAACCATCGAAATCTAATTAAAAATAAAAGGAAAAAAAAAGAACTGCACTAAGGTCTTCATACAAAAATCATTGATATAATGGATAACTTCCTTACAACAAAGGTTTTGAGGCAGTCTGAACACAGAAGATCAGAGAAAATTTTCAGCATCTAGTGAGAATGGAACCCTAGTCCTGCAGGCTGTAACTAGTTACTTTTCTAACATACTCGAAATCTCAACTATATCAGCTTGTAACAAATATGTACATGGATATTGAAAAGGTATCCCTGTAACAGGCCGTGAAGGCCCATTGGGTTGTGAGACGTCGAGGCTGCCACATTTTCTCTACACAATCTTCTCACAGATGGCAGTAAGGTTGTCAGCCTTACACGTCGGCCGCCTTTTTTCCCCCCTTGGCACTACAGCCCCAGTGGGCTTAGGCCTACCTCCATGAACTCCGTTCACTTCGGTTTTTCTAGATCTTACACATTCGGCAGGACTCCTTGGACGGGTGATCAGCTCGTTGCAAGGCCTCTACCTGTACACAAATACAGAAAAACGCACACACACACACACACACACACACAAACTAAACATCCATGCCTTGAGTGGGATTCGAAGCCACGATCCCGGTTTCCAAGCGAGCGAAGGCAGTACATGCCTAAGACCGCTCGGCTACCGTGACCGGCCCGGCCGCCCTTTACCCCCAGGAAAATCCCTGCTACTCATTTCTGTTAGAGACTGAGTCGACTCCAGGGTCATAGTGTGGCTGGAGGATTAGGTAAATTGAAAAAAATTCCACCTCATCTGGATTCGAACCCGCGACCTTCCGGCTTGTAGCATAGTGCATAGATGGGTTATATTGCTGCTTATTTGGGTGTTATTTACTACCAGCTTTCATAACGAAAATGGTATATATCAGCCTGACCATATAAACTACTCTGATCACTGAATTCTCAGCTCCAGATGAAACTTTTGCAACACACGTGACCCTGACGCATTCGTGAAATGAATTACTTATAGAATTCTCAGCTCCAAATAGCACAGTAACTCGTTCAGTGTCGGTTTTGAAAGAGACATTAAGCACCGTTAGCAAAGCAGAACAACAACGACAATTTCATTAAATTAAAGAACAGATTAGCATTGCTGGAAGCACACAAACACAACACGCTCTTAGCGCAAGGATCACAAATTATTAGGCTGTGTTTAGAGAGCGCATATGGCGGTGCGAAATGGTGGAGTATACAGCCACGCAACACCGACCACACTCAAACGCGCGCTTGCCTAATTTGATTCTATCCTTTGATGCAGTTTGCTAAACACAGAGAAACAAGGGGTAAAAGTAAAGCGCGGCAAGAATGTATATGCTGGAAAAGGGAAATATTGGTGATGACAAAAACAAAGAGGCGGAAACACGTGATAAATAGAAGCAGGAAGCCGAAAGAGCAATAGTCGCGTATTCTCTGTCTCCATTTCTCTCTATCTCTCTGTTTCATATAGCCCCGCTTTAAATGGCACCAGCACGAGAGGAACATCAAGGTTGAATATTAAGATGATCCACACTACCTGTAGCAAATCCTGTTTCACTCCCTCGACCACATTTATGCTCCCTGAAAGGCCACTGTCTCTCCCAGGCTAACTTCGGTCATATCAAGATCACAGGTTCAATTAACAACAGAGCAAATGGCGAGCTTGTGGCAATCTATAACGACAGAACACGCAAGAAAGCGCCAAAGCCCAGCATGGAGTCCCACAGGTAAGGGCATACGTCCAAGACCAGGATTCATAAATGCCTTCCATTTCCTTCACCTCTGAAAATGTCCATGTTTCGTGTACGTGGGAAATACCAGGCCCAACATTCATTCAGATTTCACGTCTGGCTGTAGAGCCAGAAACGCGAATCT